GTGAAATTCATGTGCACATATTTCTGTTCTCTTGAGTATATACCTAGGAGTGAAATTGCTGGATCATATGGTATCTGTATGTTTAGCCTTTCATGGAATGGCCAAACGGTTTAGAGTTTACAGCAGAGCAGCTGTACCATTTTACATGCCCACCAGCAATGTGCAGGATTCCAGTTTCTCCACATCTGTGCCGACACTTGTTATTTTCTGTTTGTTTTTTTAATAACCATCCTAGTGAGCATGAGGCCCCTGGAATTTTTATTTTTTTATACCTTCCTTAGTCTTCCCCAACAGACTGACTTGTTGATGGCTGGGATTATGCTTTAGTTGGCAGCAGCATGGTGTGAGAGTTAATGCCGGGGCCGAGCTCGCATCCTGTCCTCTTTATGATTTCTTGAGTCACTTGCCTTCTCTGAGCTGGAATCCCTTCGTCTGTAAAATGGAAATTTCTAGGGCTATTGAGAGGAAGAAATGAGATTGAGCCTTAACTTGCCGGGGTCAGTGCCTGGCCTAGGGTGATTTCTCCATAAAGGTTTGCTGTAATTAACCATGTTCATAACTTTCCAGGCCCAGGCCCCAGTAACTTGAATAAATGTTTGTTAAATGAATCAGCCCTTCGATATTGCTCAATTAGCCTTCTTTTATATTTCTACCAACTGTTCCCCAAATTCCAGACAGCTGTCTTGCAAACTGATCACTCCCAAGACAGACAGAAAGAGTGGCTCGATCAATGGAACGGCTTCCCTGGAAAAATAGAACATGAAAACCTTGATATGCTTGTGCTGGGGGCGGAACACCGGGAGGGCACAGGGAGCTTGTGTCCTGCTAAGGGAAGGAAGACTAAAAGAAGCTCTTAGATAACAAACAGCCTTCTTAGAAAGGTGATGACACCAGGAAGCTGCCTCGTTGAGGGTTCAGTCAATGGCCTCAGGGGCAGGAAAGAGCAGCTCTCTAGCTCTCTCCACTCCAGAAAGCACTCTCCACTTAGAGAGGGCTTGAGGGCCTCTTAGGCGCTGAGGGCTCAGGAGCTGGCCTCAGGCGCCTCTCTCTCCATCCATCTCTTGAACTGGTAGCCGGGGGTGAGCAGGCTCCCACGCGGTTAGCCGCTGGGCAGCTTTCTCTGGCTCCGGGGACGCTTCCAGAATCCACCTCTTCTCACCCTCCAGCCACACTGGCCTTCCCTGTGTTCTTGAACACACCGGCTTGGTTCCTCCCTCTTTTCACTTGCTGTTCTCTCTGCCTGGCGTGTCCCCCGCCTCCAAGCTCACCTCACAGAGAGGCCTCGCCCTCCGACCACCGTGGCTCACATAGGGGTCCCCACGTGTGCCCGATCGGTCACCACTCTCTTGCCTGAGTTTTCTTGCTTTCTTTTTTAATATTTATTTTCTGTTTTTATTTTTATTTCTTTATTTGTGGTACGTGGGCCTCTCACTGTTGTGGCCTCTCCCGCTGCGGAGCACAGACTCCGGACGCACAGGCTCAGCGGCCATGGCTCACGGGCCCAGTCGCTCCGCGGCATGTGGGATCTTCCTGGACTGGGGCACGAACCCGTGTCCCCTGCATCGGCAGGCGGACTCTCAACCACTGCGCCACCAGGGAAGCCCTATTTTGTGTTTTTAAATGAAATATTTCTAACGTAAAACAATAAAACAAACACCCACGTACCCATCTCCCAGACTTGACAAGGGCTAATGTTCTGCGCTACTTGCTTACTTTAGATCTTTCCTTTTAATCAACTTTATCGAAGTATAATTTACATACAATAAATACATACATTTTAAATATATAGTTTATTGATTTGGGGGCAAATGCACCTGTGTAACCACTACCACAATCAAGATACAGAATGTCTCCATATCCCCAGAAAGGCCCCTCACCTCCCGTAGCCTGCAGGAGTTTTCTTCCTGGTACTCAACATTATCTGAAATCACCTCATTCATGACTTTTTTAGTCTGTTTCCTGTCTGTCTTCACCGCCAGAGTGTATGTTCTACAAAGGCAGGGACCGTATCCCATTCCCAGTCCAGGCACATGGTAGGCCCACAAGCAGTCTATGGAAGCCGTGATATTGTCTTCATTATCCTTGTGTGTACACATCCCGACACACATGTCTGAGGATATCTGTGGGGTAGGTTGCTGGGAATGGAACTATTGGGTTAAAGAATATTTACTCTTTTCTTGTTATCACAAAAGAGACATCTACCCCGCTTTCTCTTGTCTATCCAGGGTTTCTCAACCTCAGCACTGTTGCCATTTGGGGCTGGATCATTCTTTGGGGTCCAGGACTTACACTAGATTTGGGTATCCTACAAAGGGAAGGGTTCCAGGAGCATCCCTGACCCGAGTTGTGACAACCCAGAATGTCTCCAGACATTGGCAGATGTCCCCAGTTGAGAACCACTGGTCTGTGTACGTGGGCTAATTTCTTGCCATCCTAAATTGTTCCTCAGTTGAGCCCATCCCTAACCAAACTACCCTCAATGACTGGATTGGTTGAATCCATTTTTTGCCCTGTTTATGCAGCTCAGCTGACTGAATTACAAGTCCTGATCGCTGTCTTTACAGCTACATCATCAAAGGAGATGCTGGTTTGTTCTAGAAGCAGGGAAGGCATCACTCTGACTTATAAACCTGGGAGGAACAAAAAGTCCACAGGACATGAATGGCTTCTCCATGGCCTGGGCACCAGCATAGTTCACAGCATTCTTTGCCTGAGGACAAATATGTCTTCAGGGTCATGCTCTGAAGATGCGGCATCTTCCAGGCCTTCAAGAACAAGAATGAAACCCCTAGCAAATGCGTAAAGGGCTCTGAACTTCTTTGATTACTCAGGACACTGAGTTGGCCGTTTCTTTCTTGAAAAATCTGCAAGCTTATGTGCCCAGAGCTGGACAGCAGGAACCTAAAGGGTGAAGGAGGACAGGTGGGGACCCAGTGACGTGAAGAGGCAGGTCCCATCTAGAGAGCACTGCATTGTGGCCAGATGTTGCCAGGTGGGAATGTGGGCCCAGCCTTGCCAGACCTTCCTGTTTTTCAAGAAAGACAAGAAATCCAGACTTTTTTTAGTGTGAAAAATCTTGATTCTTAAATTTTATAATTATCAGCAAGGAATTATCTGTTTAAACATGATGTGAACCAAACGAAACGCATCTACAGGCTGCCAGTCTGCAACCTCTGAGTTAATTTACAAGGTTGTTTCTTGTTTGGGGACTAAGTCGCTCGGTTCAGAAATCTTTTCGTTTGACTCTTCATCTAGTCAATAAATCTTTATTGAGTATCTACGGAGCATTGTTCTAGAGCTGCCGCTTGGCATTAATTTGCTCAAATGACTGACAGCAAAAGGGATAGAGATTATGGGTGTGTGAGTGGGTTGGTGGATGAAGAATGGATGGATAGATGGATAGGCAGATAGATCAATCTGATCTTTTAGAGATACATGCTAAAATATTGCAGATGAAATAATGTGATGTTTGGGAATTACTTCAGAATAATACAGGGAGTTGAACGCGGGGATAGGTGAATCAGGATTGGCCATGTGATGATAATTGTTGAAGCTGAGTGATGGTGGCTATGAGGAGGTTCCTTATACTCTTCTGCCTTCTTTTGAATATGATTGGAAATTTCCCATACTAAAAATATTTGTTTTAATGTCCTTATCAGTTAGAAATGCACTCTGAAAGAGATATAGGTAAAATGACGTCATGTCTGGGACTTGGTTTAAAATATTCAGCTAAAAATTTTCACAAGTCAGGGTATAGATGTGCTATGATCTGAATGTTTGTGTTCCCCTCCCCACCACCTACAAATGTGCATGTTGGAATCCTGACATCCAGTATGATGGTGTTAGAAGATGGAGCCTTCGGGAGGGTGATTAGGTCATGAAGGTGGAGCCCCCCTTGAATGGGATTAGTGCCCTTACTAAAACTCCAGAGAGCTTCCCAGCCCTCTGCTGAGGATACAGTGAGAAGTCCGCAACCCTGAAGAGGGCCCTCACCCGACCATGTAGGCACCCTGATGTCCCAGCCTCCAGAGCTGTGAAAAATAAATTTCTGTTGTTTATAAGCTACCCTGTCTGTGGTACTTTGTTATTATAGCAGCCTGTATGGACTAAGACAAGATGAAACATCCTTCAGCAAAATGTTGATAATTGGTACAATTGGGTGATGGGTATGTGGAGATTCATGGAACTGGCGTGTTTAATTTGTGTACGGTTGAAATTTTCTACAGTTAAAAAAATGTTTAAAGGGATAGAGAGGTGGGGGCCTCTTGTTTCCAGGTACTTTTGGAAGTATGGAGTCATACACTGGGTGCGTATGTGAATTTCCCATGAGTGTGGTAGTGTTGACAGCAGAGGAATGGGTACTCTTTAACAAGGGATGTCACAGTCTGAGCTTGCCTTGGTGAGGCAAGAAGCATGGGCTCTGTTGTGGACTCAGCCTGCAGGTTGAGAACAGATTTCTCACCTGGATGGTTTCCCTGCAGGGTGGTCTTCCTCCCTGTTACCCTGCAGGGAGGCAGAATAGCACAATGGTCAGAGAATCTGGAATCAGCCTCCCTGGCTCCGGGTGCCAGCACTACCACTTTCTAGCTGTGTGTAGCCTTGGACATGTTTCTGAGCCTCTGTTTCCTCTGAGCCTCAGTTTCCTCTCTTATTAAATGTAACACTCATATCTCACAGACTCGTTATGAAGATTGAACTAATAATTACATGTTAAGTACTTAGCACAGAGCTCGACATGTAGCATTTATTTATTCTCATTATTGATGCTTTTGTTCTTACTATATTGTGGCTGCTCTGAGAGCAGAACAAACTTTCTGAAATAGATGGAAGAAAATATGTGGGGACAGAGGCTAAAAGAAGTCAAAGAAAGAGGCACTTACTGTTAGCTGATCCACCCACAGAAGTCCATTTGTGAGCTGCTAGAATCAGTTTCCTGCGTGACAGGTACAAAAAGAATACAAAAGAAAATGCACCTTCCTGACCATATCCTTCCTCCGCAGAATGAGGTAGAACTGGGGGAGCTGCTTCTGTCACTGAATTATCTCCCGAGTGCTGGGAGACTGAACGTTGATGTCATTCGAGCCAAGCAACTTCTTCAGACAGATGTGAGCCAAGGTTCAGGTACTGTGTGGCCTCTCCTTCCCCCATTTCTTTAACAAGCCATCTATGTTTGTTTGGCACAAGGGACCTGATTTTCTTTTTCTGCCTCCTGGATACTATTAATTAACGCGACCCTTTGAGGGTGTAATAGCATCCGTATCTAGGATGTTAGTTCAAGAGGAAGAATAAACGATCGGTTGTTTCTTAAGATGAGGCAGGTAAGTGATACCATTCCAGTTACTCCATTTGAAGCAGGGGTTTGACCGAGACCAGGTGTGATGACTACTGAAATCTAGATCCTCTTTGTACACATGCAGCCCCAAAGAAGTTAACTTGCCTTCCCAGATGCTATGCATGTAATGCAGACACCATGCTCCAGGTGGCGGTAGCGTGCACTGACCATGCATTCTAATCTGTGAGAGCCGTGGACACACCCTGAGGTTCTTTTCCCAGCCCTTTTCAAGAGTAGCTTAAGTCTTTATAAATCCCAGCTCTGAAAAGACTGTTGTATTTAAAGTGCCTATAACACACCAATTCAAACGTGACTTTTAATGAAATAGAACAGATTACATTCCATTTGTATGTAGCTTTCCCATGACAGCAAAGGATATTATCATGAAAGCAGCCATGGTTGCTCAGTAGGGGAAGTACCGTCTTCTCTAAGTGCCGTAGCTAAAATAAATTACTTTTGCTATAAAGTGACAGCTGAATTTAGAAGACAACTTGTATTCTCAAAAACCACATTATAGGGCTTCCCTGGTGGCGCAGTGGTTGAGAGTCCGCCTGCCGATGCAGGGAACACGGGTTTGTGCCCCGGCCCGGGAAGATCCCACATGCCGCGGAGCGGCTGGGCCCGTGAGCCATGGCCGCTGAGCCTGCGCGTCCGGAGCCTGTGCTCCGCAACGGGAGAGGCCACAACAGTGAGAGGCCCACGTACCGGAAAAAAAAAAAAAACAAAAAACACATTATGAAAACAGGTTTTGAAGGGACCAGTAGAGGAAATGGTATTAAGGCTGGAGAGTTTCAGAATCACCACAGTGGGAGAGTCAGTATGATAAAATGATTAAAGGCTCCGGAGTCAAACTGCCTGGAACCACAGCCTAGTTCTACTGCTTATAAATAATGTGGGCTTGGGGAAGTTATATATACTTCCCCATATATAAGTATATATACTTATAACCTCTACAAGCCTCAATTTCTCCTTCTGAAAAATTGAGATAATAACAGTATTCATCTCACTGGGTTGTTTAAACAAATACAAGGTTAGATAATGTACATGAATCTCTTTGTAAACCATAAAGTGATCTGAGAATGACAGTTATAATTCCGTTTTTCCCTGTACGGGCTATGGGCTCACTGACATGTTAATGGGTCTCTAAGGGCAGAAAACTAGGACAGGCTCTGGATCTAGCTCTTCTTCCACTAGCCTGATCTTAAGCAAATCATTTCCTGTCTTGAGTCCTGAGTTTCTTCATCTGTAAAATGAACACAATGCCTGACACACGGGAGGAGCTCAATAAATTTTGGATGGCTAGAGTAAGAGAGAAAGGGGTGACCAGAAAAGCAGCTGGATGGGAAAGAGGAAGAATATATAATAGATGGATAGATGGGAAAATGGATGAATGAAAGGAGGAGTGGAAACCTGGAATGGATGGACTGATGAGAAACGAAAGGATGGGTCAGTGGTTGGGCTGTCAAATGGATGGGAAGTTGGATGGATAGGTGGATGGATGGATGGATGGATAGATGGATGGATGGATGGATGGATGGATGGATGGATGGATGGATTGGGTTTCCTGATCTCCAACGCTATGATTCTGCATCCAATTCTCAGATCCCTTTGTGAAAATCCAGCTGGTACATGGACTCAAGCTTGTGAAAACAAAGAAGACATCCTTCTTAAGAGGCACAATTGATCCTTTCTACAATGAATCCTTCAGCTTCAAAGTTCCCCAAGAAGAACTGGAAAATGCTAGCCTAGTGTTTACAGGTAGGTAGTGTTCCAGACATTGATGAACTGCAGGTGAGGCATATTCAGTGTATTGTCCTAGGGATAGAAGGTGATCTAGAGAGGGTGATGTTTAAGAACTTCGCATCTGGTATTCAGCTACCTGGGTTTGAACTCACCATTTGTGGACTTGGAAAAGATTCATAGAACCACAAAGTATAATTGTTACAAATGTAAATTTTGGAGCCAGATTTCCTGGCCCTTCCACATAATTTCTAAAGTCTTGGGCAAGTTACTTAGCCCAGGGGCTTCCAACCCCCAGTTTGCGGACTGGTACTGGTCTGCGACCTGTTAGGAACCAGGCTGCACAGCTGGAGGTGAGCGGCGGGGGAGCAAGCGAAGCTTCATCTGCTGCTCCCCATTGCTCACATTACTGCCTGAACCATCGCCCCCATCGCTCGTATTATCGCCTGAACAACCGTTCCACCCCCAACCTCCATCTGTGGAAAAATTGTCTTCCACGAAACCGGTCCCTGGTGCCAAAAAAGTTGGGGACCGCCAACTTAGCCTCTCTGAGCCTCAGTTTCTTCCATCTATAAAACGTGAGCAATAATAATACTTGCTTCATAGGTTTGTCGTGAAGATTAAGTAAATTGTGTCTTTGAGATAATAGTAAGTGCTGTGTTAGCTTTGACACTATGATGATTCAAGTGGCTTATGGTCTAATAGGGAAACATGAGAAAATAGGATCACCTAACTCCGAGAGGAGGATTTTGAAAGGCTTCCCAGAGGACATGGTATTTAAGTAGAGGCTTCAGGTGCCACACTCTGGCTGAATCTATTGTTTCCAGCGTGTAATTTAATCTACTGTTTCCAGAGTGTATTAGTTATCACCCCAAACTTTAGTGGCTTAAAATAATCAACACTTATTATCTCATAGTTCCTGTAGGTCAAGAATCCAGTCATAGATTTTCTGGGTGCTTCTGGCTGAGGTTCTCTGGCAAGGCTGCAATTAAGGTATTGGCGAGGGCTGCAGTCTCATCTGAAGTCTCAACTGGAGGTAGGGTAGGGATCTGTTTTCAAGATCTCTCACATAGTTGTTGGCAGGAATCGTTCCTTGCAAAATGTTGGCTTGAGACCTCAGTTCCTTCCTGGGTGTTATCCAGTGACCTTGCCCACATGGGCTGCTTCATAGGGCCGTGCACAACATGGCAGATGGCTTCCATTAGAGTGGGCAAGTGAGGGAGTAAGAGAGGGTAAGCAAGACGGAAGCTCGAGTCTTTATGTAACCCAGTCTTGGAAGTGACGTCCTATCACTTTTGCCATATTCCACTCATTAAAAGCAACTCGCTAGGTCCAGCTCACATTCAAGGGGAGGGGATGATACAAGGGTGTGAGCAACTCGCTAGGTCCAGCTCACATTCAAGGGGAGGGGAGGATACAAGGGTGTGAGCAACTCGCTAGGTCCAGCTCACATTCAAGGGGAGGGGAGGATACAAGGGTTTGAGCAACTCGCTAGGTCCAGCTCACATTCAAGGGGAGGGGATGATACAAGGGTGTGAGCAACTCGCTAGGTCCAGCTCACATTGAAGGGGAGGGGAGGATACAAGGGTGTGAACAATTCACTAGGTCCAGCTCACATTCAGGGGGAGGGGAGGATACAAGGGTGTGGATACTGGAAGGCAGGGATCATTGGAGCCATTTTAGAAGCTGCCCCCCCCACCCGGCACAGGGTAGTTAGTAGAAGTAATGGTTATTATTTCCAGTGTCCTTTTCATAGACGTCACCTGTGTGGTTGCTAATATTCATCATAGTGCATCCTGTCAAGTCAACATCATCCTCGTCCATTTACAGGGCAGGGGCCTGAGGCCTAAGACATAAGCAATCCACCCAGGGTCTCAAGCTGGTAAGAGTCAGGATTCAAGCTCTGGTCTTGCTAGCTCCTAAAATCAAGGGATCTGCATTTCCTCAAACACCCAAGTAGTGCTGGCATTAGGGATCTGACATCATACTTTGAGGAGTCCTGCTCCAGAGTAATTGGAAACCTTCATCTGTTTAGATCCAGTCTAGAATCCTTGGCGCAGGTGTCCCAAGAAAGCAGCCCATGGCTGAAAAATCCTTGCATGCAATCCTTCCGCTGCACAAGCTCATTGCTTCTCATCCCCAAGGTTGCTAATATTCCGTGCTCCAAGACCCCTCCGAGGCAGGCTGGTTCTGGGCTTTCTCAAGACCTGTCACCCAGAGAGTCTGCATCTAATCAGGCCCACCTGCCCCAGCAGATGTAATGATTTCTGATAGAGCCTGTGATGGCTTCTGTCCAGATTGAGTTACCAACAGACAAGGACCCCACTCCCTGGAAGGTTTCAGGTCAAGACAAGACAGTGATTCCACTGACTCCTTAAAAGTAGCCAGCAGGCAGTGGGAACCATATTGAACCAAGACTGGATCCAAGTATGGAATATCGATTCCTACATCCCTCCTGAGAATAAAGGACTTAACGTTGCACCTTTAGATCAGGAAGGGGTTCGGGCAGGGGGCGGGTTGCATTGAGAGAGTCTGTGTGGAAAGTCCTGACACTTTTGTATTTTACTTAAAATTTTATGACAAAAGTAGCACATGCTTGTGAGTGATACAACCGAAGGATGTGTATGAACGGAGAATCAGAAGAACAGAGGGGTTCATTGCATAGCCTGGGTGCTGACTTTGTGGCCTTGGGCAAGATCTGCGTGCTTTGGTTTTCTCATCTGTAAAACAGGGATAACCATACAAGGAGACCTCAAAGGACTGTTATGTAGATTAAATGAGATCCATTCATAATCAATGCTGAGCACTGTGCCAGGCACAAAGCAAGCCCTCAGCTAACTGTTAACTATTATTAAAAGGAAATTTTACTCTCTTCTTCACCCTCCTTCCAGGCCCTTCTCCCTGAAGTCGCCACCTTTAACGTCCTGGTGTGTCTCACTCCACACTTTTCCCCTTGTTCACACAAACGTCATCCACATATGGAAGAGTCAGTTCTTTTAAAAAGTTATTCATTAATTCCAGAACTGTGTATTAAGCAGTCCCTGCTCTTGTGGAGGTTTCTGGACCATTCTGTGAACGTCACTCTGAAACTTGCTTCTGTTTCATTAACAATGAATGTGTTCAGTCCCTCCAGGTCAATGCAAATGTGAATGGATCTAACTCTTTGTCTTTAATAACCGCATTATATACCATCACATGGTATACTGTGATAAAACGCCAAGGTTCCTCATTCTGGGGGCGGGGGTAGGAGTGTATGACGGAGCTTCAGAGCATGTGATAGGAACTCTGGAGTACCCTCCCCAGAAAAATACACAATAGGACAGAAAATTTTGCACACAGTTCAGAGGTGTTTTGAACCCCCTGAATCCCATATGTGAGGCCAATATGGCAGAAGCCTCAAACCGGAGTGGCGCTCCCAGCCCCACCTCCCCAACGTACATCTCTCATTTGACATCCCCCCTCCCCCAACTTTAGGGGGCAGTTGTCAGCTGCGGCCATCAGCAAGGCCGGTGCTCTCCATTTGTGGAAGACCTGCTTCTTTCCTTTAAAGGTTGGCATTTCAGGCCCCTAGCTCGGGTTTCTCTCCTCAGGTTAAAAGCCCATTGAAAATATTCTTTGTAGAGCAGGAAGGATTGCAGGCCTCTGTGCCCCCTTAAGCAATGGATTCTCAAACCTGGCTGTACTTTAGAATCAGCTGGGAGCTTTAAACTGCTACCAGTGGCCAGATGCCATCTCAGAGACTCTGATTCAGCTGGGCTAAGCTGGGGTCCTGGGCTTTCTATAAATATCTATATTTTTAAAGCCCCCCAGATATTTCTAATGCTCAGTCAGCCTTCCGAGCCACAGCTTTGAGTGGAAATCCCAGCTGGGGTAGCATTTTACATAAAGGCCACTGGCTGGAATAATAAAGAAATGTGGATTAAGCTGGTATCTATCTAGGCAAAGCTGTGATTCTCCTGAATTCAAATGCGTCAGGTTCTAACTTGCTTTATGTATCCACTGGGGGAAAGAGCTGTCACCTCTAGGCTAAGCATCTGAAAGCCAGTCCATTAGCATGTTTCCAAACACCTAACAAAAGGAAGGTTGATCTGCAGTTGAAGCATTTGTGGAGAATCCTGGTAAAAGCCTGTAATTAGCTGGTGGGCTGGGCTTTCTGAACAGTTCCTTTCCTGTGTGGGATGAGGGTTCTTCTGCAGTTTGCAATCAGGTGATTTCTGCAGCTTACGTTTAAAAGAAAAGACGGGAAAAATGGCTTTTTGACTCCTGAGACAGCAGCCTGAGGTCCAGAGGCCTTCCAGGTAGTCAAGTGGAGTTGGTCACTGGGCGTATTGGGCTGTTATTGGAAGTAGGAGGAAAAAAGAAAAGAAAGAAAAAAGGAAACGTAGCTTGATAACAGCTCTTCGAAAAATTAAAAATAGAATTGCCATATGATCCAGCAGTTCTACTTCTGGGCATATGCCCAAAAGAATTGAAAGCAGAACTCAGACATATTTGTACACTCGTGTTCAAAGCAGCCTTACTCACAACAGCTAAAAAGAGTGGGGATGGGAGCAGGCAACCCAAGTGTGTACTGATGGATGCATACATGGGTAAACGAATGTGGTGTGTCTGTACAGTGGCATGTTATTCAGCCTTAAAAGGAAGGAAACTGACGCCTGCTCCTACGTGGATGAACTAGAGGACATTATGCTAAGTAATAAGCCAGATATAAAAGGACAAATAGTGTGTCATTCCCTTTATATGACGTACTTAGAGTAATCAAATTGATAGGGACAGAAAGTAGAATAGAGTTACCAGGGGCAGAGGGGAGGGAAGAATGGGGAGTTAGTATTTAGTGGGTACAGAGTTTTAGTTCGAGAGGATGAAAAGATTCTGGAGATGGATGGTGGTGATGGGTGGCTGCACGATGCAAATTGTCTTAACGCCACCGTATACTTAAAATGGTTAAAATGGTAAATTTTATGTTACATGTATTTTACCACAATTTAAAAAAAGGAGAGAGACAAGAAATGTAGCTT